GTTTAGTCTAGAACATAGATATCAGCCTCCGCTATATGAATTGTATATTTCAGATATATGTAGTTTATATACAAACAGACCAGAACCCATCACAACATGAAATGAAGAATGATAATTATATATGATCAAACCAAAAGTGTCTGAGATTGTAACTAATAAATTGGAAATAAATTAAAAATGGTAAATAGTATAACAGTAGCCAATAGATCAAATTTATTTTTATTTATTTTAACACATAGATATTGGTACAAGGAGGCACCAAATACATATGCGCCACACGAATCTCATTTGATATGTGTGAGGGCTGTGATACTGCCCAGGTGCCCAAACCGAAGCAGATGGTTTTCTTAGTGGGTCACACCTAAAGCCTTCGACCTAAAGGTCTGATCCACAAGGCAGTGGAGCATCGTAAAGAGATGCAATCCTATAGTGGCCGGTGACGGACGATTGGTTCCTACGCCATTTGTTCCTTCAGGATACTGGAGCCCATGTGCTCCATTGTTTTGGGATCCGGTTAAAGCGCCGGACATTCACTTTTCGTCCTCTCATTTTCGTAAACAATACCGGTGCCACGAGAAGGCAGTGAGTAGGACATCCGTGGCAGAGGCTATTTACGCGTGGCCATGTGAGAGCATTTCGAGAGGGAGAGCGGACTCTCCCTACTCTCGGCCGTACCAGGGCATTTGGGGGCCAATAGATCAAATGGAAGCTTATGACAAAAGGAACATGAATATACATATAATCTAGTTACTTAATAGTTATCCAATAAGTAAACATATATATATATATATATATATAATAACAGTTCATAAATAACTCCTAACAGTTATCATTCATTTGTTCTCCATTCGAATATAACACCTACTTGAACATGTAATCGAATTTTTAAGAGAAAAAAAGAAGAGAATTACTGTCGAATCTAATCTTCAAAAATTCAACAACGATCTAATGCAAAGTTATCGATCTTCCACGTCTTACATTACATTAGAATAATTGAATTCATTAAATTTTTAATTCTATTTTAATATCTAGTTCAACGACATTTTGATCATGTCTTATTTTGAGAATTCAATCTTGAACCGCCTCTTGTTTTTTTAATTATAATTTTGCTTAGTTTTACAAATATTAAACGAAACTGGAATCAATACAACACTAATATTATGATGAGTGTTAGATTTGGTTTATATAGTTGTTAATTGGAATGGATCAATAATAAGCACATTATCATCATCATTATAGATGCTTTTAGATTTATTTAGCCTTATTATCCTGATACAATTGAATTGTATATACTGTCTTATCTATTCTTTATTATCTTTTCTATATTATTCTTTTTCAGTAAAACAAAATTATTTCAATTTTTTTTCTTTTTTTTTTGTTGGTTTTAATACTTTCCATTTTTATCTGATGATGATGATTATTATTTTTCAAGGGTGTACATAATAATTATACTCTTTGTTTCTATGTGTGTGCGTGTATATATATGTGTGTGTGCATGTGTGCAAATATCTATATATAGTTTCTTTCAACCCTCTGGGTATATTGTATGTATCAGTCGGCTTTCTTACGTATTGCTCAGTTTTTCATTGCATATTAAAATCTTATGCATGATATATATATACATATATGGCTATTAAGAATTTTGTGTACATGCACTCATCTATGTATACTTTTATTGTAGTTGGTGTTTTTCTAACTTCTTTCTGTTAAAACTCAGTATTGATAATGGTGCTGTTGTTCGAGAAGAAATGTTACCATGATTATTCATTTTCTCCATTTTTCTCTCCTTTGCATTTGCAACATTAAGTTTTTATAAATTTCAAGGGTTATATATATATATATATATATATATATATATATATATATATATATATATATATATATATATATATATATACCTTTGATTCATATCCTTGCGATCAGTAAAATAAATTAACACTTTAATAACTAGTGAATTGTTACCATAGGGAATTAGTGAAGATCAATAACTGTCTTATCATGTTGTGGGGCTCTTCAGCAGCGCACACACTTTCCCACGGGATCGGACGCAGTACCTTTAACTAGTTCGCAGTATTGTACAACCACCTTTCAGTGGGATCGGTGGGTAATAACTGCCTTATACCCGGCATGGTTAAGCTCCATTGGTCATTGATTCTTCCCTTAGTAGGGTCTTAAATGTATACTGATGAGGAGTTCCACACTAGGACGTAATAATTTTCCAGTACTTTCTGGTTTTCAATAACTGTCTGACTAAGATTAGTTCATAGTGTAAACTATGAATATTCTTGTTGATTTGTTCAATTACATCTAGTACACGAGGTAACGAAATAGACTTTGTTATTTTGATTACTTAAGATAACACCTAAACAGAGATCAGATGGCTGCTTAGGCACTGAGGATAGCTGTTTGATATAGGATTACTGGATGGTTGTAGGTGGTCGGCAGGATACTGTGCTCAACCTAGCTTCCTTGTTAGTTGGTAATCATCACCAAAACTTACCTACAATCTCGACGGAACTAATACTGCTCAATGAATCTCAACTCATGTCACCCAGCTTCACAGTCTGTGTTGTTCAGGTTGCTACTGAGTTTTTTATAGGACTGAAATACTTACAATTGACTGAATATTTAGTAATGACTGATGTCATACTTGTCTTATCTTTCAGTGTTGATTGTATTCCATTGAATTAGCACTAAACCTAGGTCGAGGGCTCCCTGCCGATTACTTCCAACCACCTAACACCTCAACATAACGCACGCAATCTTGAGTCATTCAGATTAATGCAACTAGACCGATAGAATCTGATCAATATGACATTGGTCACTATTCAGCTACCATTCAGTGGTATATATGTTACCTAATAACCTAGTTATTTCTGTTTCCGATGGTTGGTTATTCGGTTAGATAAATGTGCCTAGTGGAGTAGCGGTTTAGTGGTTATAAATCGTCCATGCTTTAACCACCTGAGAATTGGAGTGATTCAAAGAGTACCTCACCTAGGTTGGGTTCAGCTTTTTGAATCAATGACTAAAGTGTTCAACTTTTAGTCAATAAATCCCAGACTCAAACCTCGTTCAAAATACTTCTGTCTACGCAACTAGTTAGTATCTCTAGCTCTCACATTTAAAACCATGCGCATAATTCTGTACCTGATAACTAGGTAAATGAGTATCCGTTAGCTTTCATATTTTTCATCACTATAGAGTGAAAGGGATAATGATGAACGTATCGAATGCTTAGTTGTATCTCTGTAGATTGTATATGACGGGGAAATAGACACTATTCCTATATTTGAATCATAACCCCTTAATATTGAAATAAACTTAAGCCAATTGGCAATATATTTTATGGACAAACTAATCATGTTATGCCTCTTGGATTTTCGCTCAGAATTTATTTGTCGACATTTCTGCAGATGGGCTAAGAAGTAAATGAAAACTTGTCACCATTATTTTCTTAGTTCATCCATGTATTATACTCTCACTAAAGTCATCTTAGTGTAATTTTTCGTGAATATATTTTTGGTTAATATTATCACAGGAAGTTTTCGGGGAAAATATTCACTTTTTAGACCAACACCTGCAGATTGGAGACAGTTTTTAAAACTAGGAACACACTGTACAGGTGCTTTATCCTAGTATACGACTTATCATCGATGTATATCCGCGACCAGACCAATGTCTTAACGGAAAATTTAACCATCTAGCTTATAGAACTCGTCAACGTCATAATTCCATACTTACACATTACACTTTATGCAGATTGAAGTTTTGACAATGGTGGTGTGATGCTTTCTTTCTCTTGGGCATCATTTAATTAGACATCCAAACTAAGATGTTACACTACTGGTTACGGTACTTTTAAATATGTTCTGTGTTACAACCACATCATGTTAATTAATTTTGAAACCTTACTATTTATTTTTACTCTTATTACCACTATTGTTCATTAGCAGCTATTAACTGTAGACATTTGTATTTGTCTAAACTCTTTTTGTTAGTATCTCTTGTTAACAGAATTTTTTTCGTGCTTTCTTTTTTTGTTCATTCAATTGTTGATTCTTGATAATTATTTAATTTCAAAAGGGGTTTGTGGAGATTTTAGAAATTTCACGGATTGAAATCATGAGTCAACTGAAGCTAGACCATCATGAACCTGCTTCGGTCTGGGCACCCGGGCAGTATCACAGCCCTCACACATATCGAATGAGATTTGTGTGGCGCATATGTATTTGGTGCCTCCTTGTACCAATATCTATGTGTTAAAATAAATAAATAAATAAATAAATAAGACCATCATGAAAACACTGGACGGCCGTTCCGTCCTAGTACGGGACTCCTTAGAAGTGCGCATCCACGATCCCGCACCCCGCGAGATCCGAGCCCAGGACCTATCAGTCTCGCGCCAGACCCCTAACTAACTAAACCACTGAGACAACCGTTATCCAACGGTGTTAATGTCTAACTTCAACCAATCCACGAAGTTGCGCCACCGTATACCATTGTCTTCAGTGAGCAGGGTGCGGGATCGTGGATGCGCACTGCTGAGGAGTCCCATACTAGGACGAGACGGCCGTCCGGTGCTTCCAGGTTTTCCATAGTGGTTTAGCTTCAATTAACTCATGATTTCAATCTGTGGAATTATTTAACTTATCTAATGAAAATGTCTGTTTGTCTGATCCATTTATTTATTCATCCGATCAGTTGTGTTATTGGATAATTTTTTTTAACAAACTTCTTCAAGTATATGATGTTATGCATGTAAACTACTACACCAATGTGTTTGTTGTCATTATATCTATGTGTGTACATGTATATACGTATTGTGTAATGTTATGCCAGTAAACTACTACACCAATGTATTATGTAACTTCATTATTATTCTATTTAATTTTCACATAATCATATCGTTTCTTTTCTCACTCAGATAACAATCGTTAGCTTAATCATTCATTTTCCCTTGTTATATAATAATTTATTATTTATTTATTTTTTCCTAGGCTCCAATGTGACTAAAACTAATTCACGTACTGACTCATCCTATTCATCAAGACGACATACAAGTTCTCGTAATCCTACTTCTACTGGACATCAATCGAAAAATTCACGTGATAGTTCATTAGTTGTTCCACATTCTACAACAACGAGTACAACAGCAAGAACTCGTTTAAAAAGTCCTCAAAGTGTTCGATTAAGTTCATCATCAACTACTTTAAATAATCAAGCGGTTGGTGTTAGCGGTGGAACAAATCAAACAAGGTGTTTATTTTGATTATTACTTTGGTTATTATATTATTAAACAATGGAATTCATTTTAGATTGATTGATTATTGGTTTATTTCATAGAAATTCATTGTTTGTTTATCTAAGAATCTATGTTTATATTTCATAGGTAAAAAAGCATCTTGTTATTATAGGCTGTATTGAAAATGGTTAGATTTTAAGTTTCAACTCATAAATCGACTTCAATTGGACAACTTTAACTCTAACCCTATTCTAGTATGGAATTCCTTTAGCATGACCATCTCACTAGGTGTCGAATTCAGTCTGTGATGTGAAGATTTAAATTTAGTAACATCCAAAACTACAATCATTATGTGCTTTCTGGTAAGTAGTTTCAAAACGTAGTTCCTAAACTTCTAGTGAGAAGCCGTGACCAGTAGAGTTCTACCATGTTGGGGATGTGACATATCACCAATGACAATGAATGATGGTCGTACAACATCGCGAAATGACTGAAATTATAAATACAGACTACTATTTATTATCTCAGTATGAAGTCTCTTTCAGGAGTGCGGACCTACGTTTGCATCATGGACAGGACTCTCAGGGCCTTCAGCAACTGTTGGAGGGGCATAATCTGACTTTTAGGTGTTTTCTACTCGGATGAAATATCTGTCTAAGTGCACTGTAGTTTTCAACGGTTGTCTAGCTTAAAGTCAGTTTGTGATTCAAGCCAAAAACCTTTTATGATAATGGTAATTGCAACAATATTAAAAACTGATCAATTTACCTCTTTTAGATACTTCTTTATGTCCATTTAATCGTTGGGGGAGTAACTAACATGCCACTCCCTCTAATTTAACCTGCCAGTTAATATTATCAACGCTATATTCGATTGATATGTTTTACACAAAAGCACATGCACACTTCCACGAACCTCTGTATGTATACTGGATTTTTAAAACTCAATTTTTACTATCTGTAAGTGGTTTACATTTTCCCGTTTCTGATTTTAAGGACGGCAACCGATCAGTCTCTTGGCATACATGCATCTTGAACGCATTGTCCTGGTATTGTTATCAAGCCACAATTCTTTGAATAAAATAGGATAGTGGCTAGTAATGAAATCAAGGAGGCGTGTTTTGTCCTGTTTAGAACTGTTCAGATGGACAGACTTCAGTCCCAGTGTTGATATCCACACTGAGACTACTTTAGTCACTGGTTCCTTGGTTATCTATTAAAATTCAGTTTCCACTAGCTGATATGGTTTATTTAGAAGAGTAATGTTGTAGTTTACTATCATACAATTTGATTGTTTATGCTTCACTCTACGTAACATGTAATCATGTATGTAATTTCACAATATTAGTTCTGATTACGCAAAATTTGTAGGTATATACGTAGTATTTATAAGTCCTCATGAGCGGAGTCCCTAACAGTAATTTCTATGTCCCTTAATGTTGAACAGTTACTGAAATGATGTACTTTTGTGAGGAAAATTTCACTGCAAGTTCTAAAACACTCTTCATTTTCAATAATACTATAGATAGAAATTTTAATTTATTAAGTTAGTTAAATATTTATTATATTTGAAACTTCTTCATAGTTAGTATACTTGTGAGACTTTTTTTATTGACATAACTACCAAGTGTTTAAGTTAGTAGTAGTAGTGTTAGTAGTATATATATTTGTGTTTATTATTAATTATTGGTTAGACGAAATCGGATTACTAGCGCTAGTTCAGAGGATAGACAATTTAATAATTTCAATAATAATAAACATGAAGGTGACAACAAAACTTTATCTATGTATGAATATAATGATATGATAATGTCACGACAAAGTGAACCCATTACTTACCAACAAAAATCATCCACTTTAAAATCGAATACATCTTCACGATATTATGAAGCTTCTAATGGACCATCTGGTTATACAGTATTTTGGAGATCAGCTTATGATGGTGAATTAGATGATATATATCGAATGAATCATTGTCAAAGTCCTACAAGTCAACAACACCAACAACATTCTGTATCTATGTCTTCATCATTTCGGAAAAATCATACAGTTGCTCCACCTCCACCACCACCACCACCTGCTCTCCCACCATCATCTTTATGTATACCGCCAAATCTTGTTCGTCGTGGTCGTCCATCCTCTGGACCATCTTCTTCAATATATTATTGTGCTAATGATTCAGACGATCGTTCTGTACATTTAACATCAACTGGTCGTTCTCTTCATCCTACTGCTTGGAAACCTGGTGGAGTAGCAATATGTCCTACAAATCGAGAAACAATTCCATCAGTGAATAAACCATCATGTATACCCAAATTTCATGATGATGAGCAAGTCAAGATCTACCACATATTCTTATAATATGTTTTGGTGTGATTTAAGCATTTTTAATTTAATACTTTTAGTTATAATTATTGTTTTTGTAACTAACAATCTCACTTATTTCATAAATTCCATCAAAAAAAAGTATTAAGCATTCAATAACTATCAAAATTTTTATTCACCATACATAAACTGTAATACACTAAATGTTTAACACTACACTGGTGCTTTGTATATGTCGTTACTATTTATAATTGCACTTATAGAAAGGGAGATACGTTGTGTATAGTTACGTAACATTTTCATTTTATTTTCAGTTTTTATCACTTAGTTGCAGTCGTTTATTTTCATTTGGGTAAACACATAATTGATACTTTGTTTCCTACTCTTTTTTTTCTTCTATAAATCTTTTAGCTCCAAGGAAACTACTTATTTACCAGGTAACTAATAATATTTTCAGTTCAAGTAGTTTGTTTCGATTTTTTTTAATAATCCAATTCATTTGCTAAAGATTGTTTATCCGGCTTCAGGCTATGGTGTTTTAGTTTATGTACAGAGGAGGGCTAGTATTATTACTCGGCTAACCAAACTGATGTTTACTGAGCGGAATTTGCACCTGGATCATCGACTGTTTTATTCACCAAGCCACTATTACACTCAGTTTCGAGTTCCTCCATATGTATGGTCTAACTGCCGATTGTATTTATACATGTGAATAAATTTGTCACTTTGATATATCTTTCTGATACTATTAAATTGCCTATCATGAATATTCTTCTATGATGAGCATTGTGAACGATGAAGAAAGACTGTATCCTCTTGAACTCACTCGCTTACCATATCGAATCTAGACATAAAAGAACAACTGTCCATCAAGAGAGATATTGGTTCTACGTGAAAAGATTGATTCAGGTGTGTCTACTACACCTTTATAAATAGAATAGAAGGTCGAACCACTAAAACCAATGCGGTGTGTAGTTAACGTTGTTAAAAGCGGTAAACTTAAGAATACAGTAAACGATCAGGAAATAAATGCCAAATCTAGTTTTTTACCAAATAAATTATACAGATGTAAGCCTAGCAAGCCATTTTTAAAAATGTAACCACTTGATTATTTGTAATTTAATTTTCATCTTCATCGGTAATTGATCACTGATCATTATATCATGCTTGTCTAGTCTTTATTGCTGTTCTAAATCTACTGATCATTTGATTGGAATTCGATCACCTCTGAGGATTAGGTACACATAACAATGTCTACTGTTCAGTGGTCAGCCAATGTGATATCTTAGTCCTAAAAGAGGTCAGTCACGGCTACGTTTATGTTTTCTTCTATCACATTGGGTAAAGTGAGTCCGCATTTCTCACCAGGGACATCAGTCCACTCAAGATATCAAAATCAGAGTACACCATTCCTTTAAAGTTTTAGTTCAACACGTTAGCAGTGGAGAAGCCAGATATAGATTTTCTGTATACGATTATGCAAGATATCATGAATACGCATGGACTGTAAGACAATTTTCAGATAGAAGATCAAATTTGTTCCTGTCCACATTGATTAGTCCTACTAGCTCTACAGCTGTGATCAGTTTATGATACGATTTCATTAAAATATTGAGTTAATCTTAGTTGCACAACCTTTGAAAACCTGGAAGCAGTACAAGTCCGTTTCATCTTAGTATGGGACACCTTAGCATTGTACATCCACAAGCCCACAGGCGGGATTCAAACTTAGGACCTTCAGTGTCGCTTTCGAACACTTAACCTCTAGACCACTGAGTCGGCATTCAACGGTGTTGATATCTAGCCTCAATCAATTCACGGGATTAAGCGACCATCTTCCACTGTCTCCCATGGGTAACTGCCTCACTTTATACAAATTAGCTTTACTGGTCACGGCTCCTCATAAGAAATTCGGAAATTTCCTCTCGAAGCTAGTCACTAGCTAGCACATGATGACTATCAGTATGAGATTATAGAGATTCTTTAGTTTCATTGAAATGATGAACCGATCTATGCTAAACCACCATTGAAAACCTGGAAGCAATGGACGGTCGTTTCATCCTGGTACGGGACTCCTCAGCAATGGCCATTTTCCTATATTGAAAATCTGATACAATTATTAATTTTCCTGTTTTATTTTCTCTCTTTCCATTCTATTTTGCTTTGTGTAAAAAAATCTTGCTAACCAGGTGATGGAATTCTACGATTTTATATTCGTGGTCGTCCAGTCAATGTTTATATGCCTACGCAAATTATGCATAATTATGACTTGTCAATTCCATTGAAAGCACCGGATACGACGTTGAAACTGGAATGGATGTATCCTTTTTGAAGATTGTTTTTTTATTTTGTATTTACTTTCATAAATCATTACTCTTTAACAAATTTTCGTGAATTACTTAAATTTTTGCCTATTAATCGCGTGGACCTCAATCAGGTGGTTTGCATCCATTAAAATAGCTCAAATCAACGGTCAATAGCTTCATAAATTGATGCCACATCTTGGTTTGTAGGCCCTTAGTTCTTGTTTTATACAGAACACTCAGTTAATTGAAGAGTCTGTATACTTCGAAAGTCGGACTCTAATGATAAATTGAAATGTTGTTTATTATTTTATTCAGCAAAAAATCGTTTAAATTGTTGACTGATTGTAGCTAGATGACTACTTGGAACCAGGGAGCACTAGAAATATTTTTCATCTTAATAAGTGACTCCCCAGTAGTGGATGATCACGTCTCCGCTAAGAATCTATCTCAACATATTTAGTTCTCCCAGTGAGCACGATATGTTTAAACCATATGGGGTTGTCCGCTTTTCACGATAATGCACAACCATTATCCATTACCATTGATTTTGCTTCTATGACATCCGAAACTCTACTAGTCATATCTCGCTTATAATTTGAGAATTTTCGTCGAAATCAGTCCCTATTGAACAAATGATTACCACTATTTACTAGAATAGAAGGTTTGTGAAGATGTTTAACTCCTTTTTTCAAAAAGTATTTTTTCACTGTAATATCATTCGAACTAAAATATTCTCCTTAATTATCATCCTAATAATTCGTTACGTCATCACCATCATAATCTCTGTTTAGTTATGGTTATCGTGGGCGAGACTGTCGAAATAATTTACATTATCTTCCAACTGGAGAGTTAATTTATTTTGTTGCAGCTGTTGTAGTATTGTATAATATTGAAGAGCAATGTCAAAGACATTATTTGGAACATACTGATGATGTAAAATGGTATGTGTTATTTTTTTCTTTGAAAACAGTTAGTCTCATATTTTATGTCATGAAATTATCTTAGATAACTAATGAAAACTAAGAAGCACTGAAAAAAATCTTCTAGACCTAAGGTCTAGGGTTGAAGTCTCGAGTACAGGGTCGTGGAAATGCATTTCTCAGTAGTCCTGTACTGGGAAGAAACGGCCGTCCAGGTATTCCAAGTTTTCAATGGTGGTCTAGCTTAGATGAACTCATGAATTCAACTATGAAAATACCAATTATTATTTAATACACTTATTAATTTTTATTTTACCTGACCACTCATTTATTCCAAGTAATCAGTTTTACTGTCGAATTCTTGTTCATGTTAATTATATACTCTTCCATTGTGCTGTTCGACAGCATATTTCACAGTTTGCTTTACGGACTGATGTTAGTTAAATACTCGTTAAAAACTAGAAAATAATAAACAGCTGTTTCGCTCTTTTATGTTTTTCATCAAGTAGGCATCTACAACCCCTTTTTTAGGGGTCGTACTTGGGATATTGAGGTATTGCAGTGAGCATTTAACCTTTAGATCCTTAAGTTGGAATCTAATGGTTTATGTGTGTAAATTCAATCAATTTACCATTTTTTGTAGCCGTCTTCCAATGCCATTGGTCAGTAACTATCGCATACCCAATATGGTTGACCTAGACTGATCACTATTTCGTACTAAAACTCTTAGAAAATTACCTCGTGAAATTAGACACTGACAATCATATGATTACTATTAGTATGCGGGTCACATCACTGATTTTTTTGTAGTTATACATTTTCTAGAAATTTAGTCATTTATTCACTAAGATATCAAATGCATGGCTGGTCTATATGTATATTTCTGGTTATCAGTGTAGTTTTATCAAAAGTTTCATACAAAAAATTCCTAGATCATACCTTAGTACAGTGTTGTGACTTTATGTCCGGCTTTTTATCACGTGATTTATCCACCAATCAAAATACGACTTATACAATCTTAGCACTGTGCCAAACCAATGACGTTCGACCGGTATGGGCAGACCAGCGTCCTTATTGGTCCTATGTCCACCTAGCCCGTCCATTTGAGTCCAGGACACCAATACCAGCTTCCACTATGCGAATCGAATCGAATCATTTATTTCAGACATACTGGGTTTATATATCAACCAAACAGACCGCAACGCACCGTGAACTAGGAAATAACATTTGTATGCAATAAAGCCAAAAAGTGATTGTGAACGTTGGAGGCAGTAGTCAATAAACTAACATAACTTAAGAACAGTAAATTGTCCCATAATAAATTATAGGTCAAATAAAGCTTATAATAAGAGGAATATAAATATACATAATCTAATTATTGAATAGTTATACCATAAGAATGTATAGATAATATTAGTCAATTAATATGTCTCAGAAGTTACTCGTGGTTTAATCTTCACTCGGATATTACGTACAGCAGTAGTTAAGTTATTAAAAGTGATCTCTGACACAAACCAATATCAACTGCCAATCATTCAGTCACAATTAATGTAGAACATGACACATACGTACGTCTCCATAGGTTGCCATATCATATTAAATCGACAGGATAGAGATAAATATCTGTTAAGCTACGATAATATAGCTGCAAGGATAATGAGGAAGACTAAAGATTGAAAATATGGTTTGAAAAGCTAGGATGAAAAGATATATATTAAGGAGGAGTCTTGCAACTCATAATCCCAAGTAAGATAAAGAGAGAAGCTATCTTCATCATTGTGATCTTTCCTAAACCATATCACTCAACATCTTAGGTACTGGTCACAGATATGCGTTTCTCAACCAAAAAGTCTGCACCTGCCAATATGACTAAAACTAATAGTCGATAACATCATGGACTGATAGAATGTTTTGGTATGGTTACCCATAGCTTTCAACCAACTTACACTTACAGCACCTAACATCAAACATTGGAGGAATCGGCGTTTAGGCATTCGTGACATATGCGTCAACCTTCTCAGTGAATAAAGATCTACAACCTCGTTAACTTATTTGACGTTTTTGACATTACTGGTCCCTTGATAGTTCTATGAAACGCAAGCTATTTTTTAGAAGACATCTATAATCAAAAGAATGTAGCCTACGCATGTCTTCTACATTCCAAGACTGTCTTTCACGGTCACAAAGTAGGAGAAAGTAGATTTCTACTTAGTATACCCCTTTCTGTTTGGATAGGGAAATCTTACCTACACCACAAATGACTCAAGTTGGCAAAGGTTAACTGAGCTTTCACAATCCATATCAAGATTTCTACAGACATCAACATAAGTTTTAGAACCAGTAAATACTAAAAACAGTTGCTCAACTGTTTCATCTTAGTTTCCAATTACTTTACAGTGCTTACTCATTTTGTCATGTGGAACCAAACCAAAGATATTTTCACATATCATACTAACTGATCGAGTTGCTACTTAATGTTTAAATCAATTAACTTTTAATTCATTGAAATACAAATTCAAACATTATCTCACTTCAGCCTAGTCAACTAAAGTAGAGTGTCATATACTCTCTCCCACATATAAAAGAGTGTAATTGAAGGCTATTTATACAAACAATATACCATTCAGCAACTGAATTAAATCAATTCAATTTAATTAATTAATTGTAAAGATAACAGTTTTACCTAAAATGGGGTTTAGAAAATAAGGATTCTCTATCTAACGATTTTATTTTCTATCTCAAAACTTCTTTATATCAACAATAAAATGAAAAGGAACTGATCAATAAAATGCATGGTGATTTTCTTCTTTTTTCTCTTTCCTGAAAACAGATGAAATAATGTTTTTCTTTGATTCTACTTTTAAATTTAATACTTTTAGAAATTATAAATAAGCTTGAGTGGTTCGTTCTTCTCTTTTCATAATTGATTTCTTATTTGTATGTGTATATGTGTTTGGATGTTGGTTGGGGTTAGTTTGTTTGGTTATGTATTTTTTTTGTTGAGAATTTGGCATAAGAAAATTTCACAGATTGAAATCATGAGTCATTTGAAGCTAAAATCTCCACAAACCCCTTCTGATTATAATCATCTGCTCACTAGTGACTGACTTCAAGAAATACTCTTGGAGTTCTAGTGAGAAGCCGTTACCAGTCGAGTTCAACTAGGTCTGTTGTGAGATATCAACTCACTGAAGACAATGGTGTACGGTGGCGCAACTTCGTGGATTGGTTGAAGTTAGACAATAACACCGTTGGATGCCGGCCTGCTCAGTGGTCTAGTTGGTTGGGCGCTTGGTGCAATACCGATAGTTCTTGGGCTCGGATCTCGCGGGGTGCGGGATCGTGGATGCGCACTTCCAAGGAGTCCCGTACTAGGACGGAACGGCCGTCCAGTGTTTTCATGATGGTCTAGCTTCAGTTGACTCATGATTTCAATCAGTGAAATTTCTAAAATCTCCACAAACCCCTACTGATAACAAAATTTGACAGTTGGTCTATTCTGATCTGTTCTCGGATCAGTTAATCTTGATAAATGTATTGATACAATTATGTAGGTTGTTTAGATTATGATAATCTTAATATTTCAATAGATTTTACTACAAAAGTAGTTGGCAGATCGGATTGAGGCTGATGGAAAATACCAGTTAGTTAGCCGAAAAGCCACTTATAAATAATTGTAATTTCTTTACTATGTATAGATATATGTAATGGGTTTTGAACTAATTTTTCTGTACTTATGAGTTACTAATACTATATAACCTCCTAAATTTAATTAAATGAAGTAGGTTTCGAACTGAAAGTCTTATAATTGAGATCCAAATGCTTTGTGGAGTGGTAGGATTCGTTTAATTCATATCTGTCTCATAACATCGACTGTTTTCTCATTGGTTGTTATCGCTTTTAGTTTGTTAATTTTGTTTTGTCTCAAAGTTATAGGATTTACTATATGTAGAGAGTTGTTTTATTTTAATTTTTCTCTTCTGTTCAAAATATAAAACTATCCTGAAAGTCCCGTCTTCCCTATCTGTGATTGGTGTGACAGATTTTATTTTATCAACTCCGTCATAGAACCTGTTCGTATTAAAATAAGCTTAATCATTCTGTAATTAGCGATTATCATAGGTCCTAACCGAAACAAAATCTCAAGTTATGACAAATTCTTACAAGGTTTGTTTAGCTAAATGAAATGCAAACTAACGACAACTTGACGACACATAAGAGATAAAAATCTGATCGTTTACAAAACACTTATTACCATTCATACTGTACTAGAGGAATTCATCTATAGTTGGCAAACAACGCTCTATAACAGAGGATAAAATAACGTTGGATAGAATGCTATAAATACCCTCGATTTTCTGTACATAAACTAACATTGGAACAAGTGTTCTTTACACATTTCGTTCCTTTTCTCTCGTGTTGAAGTTGTTGTATAGATTTAGTCATGGGTTATTAGAAGAGCCTAGGAAACTGATTCAAGCATTCAGTCAGAAGATTTATCAGTTTGACTCAATAACTTCGAATAAATTGAACATTATGATCATGTTAATAATTAAATATGATATATTTGTGATGTCTCAATGATTAGGAATTTAAATTTTCTACGTTTTGTAACCTAACAGAAGCTGCTACTTTAGAATAACTAAATAAATAAATAAATTTCAGTGATTGAAATCATGAGTCAATTGAAGCTAGAACACCATCGAAAACCTGGAAGCACTGAACGGCTGTTTCATCCTAGTATGGGACTCCCCGGCAGTGCGCATCCACGATCCCGCACCCCGCAAGGTTCGAGTCCAGGACCTATCAGTCTCGCGCCAGGCGCTTAACCAACTAGACCACTGAGCAGGCCGGCATCCAACGGTGTTAATGTCTAACTTCAACCAATCCACGAAGTTGCGCCACCGTACACCATTGTCTTCAGTGAGTTGATATCTCACAACAGACCTAGTTGAACTCGACTGGTAACGGCTTCTCACTAGAACTCCAAGAGTATTTCTTGAAGTCAGTCACTAGTGAGC